ATACTTAACTAATTAAATATCGAAATTAGAAGAAAAGTGCACTATTTTTAATGATAGGAAATGCGTTTTTCTAAGGTACATAAACTTTTGGAATTGACTGTATAGCCAATACATCCTTAACAAGCACGGCAAAAGTTTTACTGAGTCGACTTAGAAAGAAATGTGCAATATCGAAGATAAACGTTCTATGCATTTCAATAGCAACGAGAATCGGTTCGATGCAATGTAGTACGAGTGTACGATTAAACATATTAAATGATACGAGTGCGATTTGTATGTGCGTACAGTGAGAGAACGCATTAGTACGTGCGTGAAAGAGTGAAATAATGAGCCAGCTTGTATCGAAGCATTGCGAACAAGTGAGAAATTTATCGCCAGTAATGAACGAAATTTTGTTTATTTAAATGTGGCCATATATTACGATGTATTATTAATTATTTTAACTGAAACATTTGAGATAAGTTACTTGTGTTACGAAGTATCAATGTTAGGAATAATGTGTTCAGCAGACTAATAAAATTTGAATATCACGTTATCGTCAATATAAATTGCATTGGTACATTCACTGTCAAATATGATCGTTTCTAAAATCTTCCTTTACTTTTAGAGATTCACGTTCATTTAAAACGCGTGTAGAAGATTATAATTTGAAATGGCCGCCGGGACGACGCCATTGGACGCGATCATTACGATTACGCTCTTTGATGAAATTAAGAATTACGTTTCTCTCGGCCTTTCTTTGTATTGGAGAACTATATATATGTCATAACAGAGAGGAAATTTCCTCTGTGTATATATATATTAATACATATATATGATATACCAGAGAATGCGTGATTGAGGTATAGTGAGGGAAAAATTCGTGAAGTCTCGTAACTGAAACCTGAGTTCCACTGTTCCACGACGCACGGCGCTGGGTCGAAATTCCTGAAATATCTTTTACACGCTGCGCAAACTGGAGGTATCGCCTGCAATGTATGACGCAGATCTAGTTTTGGGAAGTCCGTACTCTAGCACGTTTCGTAGGCCAGTGATTCACAAGCGTTTTCGCGCTACCTGTTATGAAATCTTCGACGGATGATACAAAAACACGTGTTCTTTGCAATTTAGCCGATAAAGTTTCGCGAGATTCTGGTCGATTCGAAGAGTGTTAGCCGGGTAGGTAAAAGTGGTCGAACAGCAGCGTGAGAAGAAGAGATTTTGAGTAAGTTAATCGTTCGAAACGGTGAGTTTACGCGGATGATCGAAGGGAAAGTAGTGAAGCAGGAGAGCGGCCATTTTATGTTAGTATGACGTAGAGGCTGGGTGTAGCTTCGCGTTCAACCGTCCGTGTTCTTTGGAAGAGGCGAGAAAATCTGAATTCTGATGCTGTGGTCGAGGTAAATGCACGTACCACGCGCCGAACGTGTGAAACGTAAATTAAGCCCGCAGAACGTAAGGAAATTAGTTGAATAAGGAAGGAAAGGGGCCCGCGAAAGAACGAGCATGAGCGAGGAAAGCAATCCACGAACGCTTTATGTGGGAAATCTAGACGCTTCGGTGTCGGAGGAACTATTGTGCGCACTTTTCTCGCAGATAGGTTCCGTGAAGGGATGTAAGATAATAAGGGAACCGGGGAACGATCCATATGCGTTTGTCGAATTTACAAATCATCAATGCGCGGCTACAGCGCTGGCCGCCATGAACAAGAGATCCTTCCTGAATAAGGAAATGAAGGTTAACTGGGCAACGAGCCCTGGAAATCAGCCGAAGTTGGACACGAGTAATCATCATCACATATTTGTCGGCGATCTCTCGCCAGAAATTGAAACGCAAACTTTAAAGGAAGCGTTTGCGCCTTTCGGCGAGATTAGCAATTGTAGAATCGTACGCGATCCACAAACCATGAAAAGTAAAGGGTACGCGTTCGTATCGTTCGTCAAAAAGTCTGAGGCCGAAGCAGCGATAGCGGCTATGAACGGGCAGTGGCTCGGATCAAGAAGCATCAGGACAAATTGGTCGACCAGGAAACCACCGCCACCGAGATCCGAAAGGCCGAGACATTCGAATAATACGAAACCTAATTATGAAGAGGTACGAGGTTCCGAATCATGGTTTATCACACTTATTCGTCTTTCGTGTCTTGCTCTCTCTGTCGAACGTGTTTCGAAACTCGAGTTTTAATTACCTTGTCGATTACAGCCGTGGTCGATCGTATACGTCACATTTAAATTTTCATGTTTTCTTCGTTGACAGGTGTATAACCAAAGTAGTCCGACTAATTGCACGGTATACTGTGGAGGTTTTACAAATGGAATTACGGACGAACTGATAACCAAAACATTTTCCCCTTTTGGTACCATACAAGATATAAGAGTATTTAAGGACAAAGGATATGCTTTCATAAAGTTTACTACTAAAGAAGCAGCGACGCATGCCATAGAGTCGACACATAATACAGAAATTAATGGTAGCATTGTCAAATGCTTCTGGGGAAAGGAGAACGGAGACCCGAACAGTGTGGGCCCTAACGCGAATCACCAAGCTCAACAGGTCATTTGAATGTTCATTGTTCTTTAGTGTTGTTCATTTCTTTGTTTCCCAGTTCGTTCGGTGAAAGATTATTGTACGTTGCTTCTTGTTACGACGACAGGTCACGACGGGAGCTGGTCAGTACGCGTACGGATACGGGCAACAAATGAGCTACTGGTACCCACAGGGATATCCACAAATGCAGGGACAGTTTTTACAGCCTGCTCAGTACTACGGCCAATATTATGGACAACAGGCTCAATATATGAATAGTATGCGAATGCCTGCTCCTGGCACAGGCACATGGCAACCTGCACAAGCGACCGCCGCACCACCGACTGCAACTGCACCGTTGCCACCAGGTCAGCAACCAGCTATGGTAGCATACACCATGCCGCAGTACCCCACGCAATGAAATTGATTAACGATCAGCATCGACTAACTCGTTACACATGATACAGTCGGGGCGTTTGCAAAAGCAAAAAAAAAAGGAAAAAACTGTTCCGTCATATACCTACTCCGCGACAGGTTTATCGGTATTTTGACTGCAACGTCATATGTACAAATTTCTGTTCTACTTCGTTCGAAGTACTAAACGTATACATATATATGAAAAAGAAAATAAGCTCCTAAATTTGGTTGTACCAATATCGACTGATATCAAGTATCTCGGGAGACTACATTGTCAAAAGTTCAAAGTGATATATATATACATATATATATATATATATATACACATACGTGTGTACACTACCAACGTTTAAATATACACACACAGATACAGAAACATTTCCTTTATTTATACGTTTCCCTTGCCAAAACAATAGGAACGTATACATTTGGTAACGAACGCAAGCGCATCTTGCAAATGCTCATTGAAGAAACTGTTAATATCGTAGCAGTCAATCCATCAGTGTAACATAATGACCCTCCTCGAGTACGATTTGTATTTCCGCGGCGTTGAACGAGGTATAATTCTGAACTTAAGACGAAAGGACGAAGAGGAGAAAAAAAAACGAAAAGAAATTGCAGCCCCTCGACGAGCCCTGCATTCGTTGTGCTGCGTAAGGTGTACGTATGTATGCGACCATTGCGTTGTTATATTTTTAATATTTTTGCCACAATTTACCAATCTTTAGTTTACGTCGGATCGTCAATGAACAGAGATAAGGATGTTCATTTATGGTAAAACACAGAGTATGACATTGAACATAGTAATAAGATAGAAAGTATAGGTAGACATGGCGCCTGTGATGTAGCTAGATTTGGATGCATGCTTTAACGTATGCAGGGCCCTTTATTAAAGTAAACTACTATGCGAGTCGATAAACGAGTTGTAAACTTTCCTCGTTTTGTGATATTTATCGTCGGTGGTAAATGTACAAAACATTCATGTAAGGATTTTAAAGAAGATACGCACGGAAGTGTGAAGAGAGAGAACGTGAGAGAGAGAGAGAGAGAGAGAGAGAAAGAGAAAGAGAGAAAGAAGAAGATATGATATTTTATGATGAATTTGACTCCGATCGAATGATACTTTGTTGTAACTCATCTTGCTTGCAGGTGACTCCGCTCCGTCTGTACAAAGAAATAGCGAATCCTGGGTGTAATTATTACGATGTAATTTAAGTATGTAACGATAACGATGAACACTTCCACTACGAGCCGGAGTCACCGACGTTCTATCTTCGTTAACATTGGATTCGTACGAAAGTTGAAGAAGAAAACGTGAAATTCCTTTCTCTTCGATATACTGTAGGCATATTCCATTATTCTATTCTAACGATCAGTGTATCAATTGACAATCATATCTGATATTTTAACGTTATTCCGGTTGTCGCACGGCACGATACTTATACTTTCGTGTCTTCCGATTATAAAATGCAGCTGTGAAATTTGTTGCACGATTTTGACAGAATCTTATTCTTTGATTTCCGATTGAGTTAGCCTTATCGTTCGTTTTTTCCTTTTTTCCCCCATCAGACAGTTGCCGCTTTTGTTCTACTTATTTCTGATTGAAAGTAGTGTTTTTCTTTTTAATGGTACGTCTTAATAAGTCAACGAATCGACGATTTGACAAAAACAAAACAAAAAAAATGAAAAAAATTAGGACGAGTTAGAGTAACTTGAGAACTTATCTATACTTCGCTTCACCACCGACGATAAAAAGCCATAAAGCTTTCGAAACCAATTTGTATAAAGTCAGTACTGAATGTAATAACAGGAGAATCATAAGAGTCGAATATACTTAGCAATGATTAATTGACTGCGACAAGTGATACTGAACTATGGAGAGCCAATTTAAGTGGAAAAAAAAATGAAAACATAAAAGAAACAAGACTCGTCTATGGGTTAATAATAATCGGTGAATCGACGCAAGACGTAAGAAGAAAAAAAGAAGTTACATAAAGAGTAATTTAGGTACAGCGGGGTGGCAGAACCCTCGAAAATGCTTAGGATAATGTTATCTTATAATAAAAACAAATTGTCCTTTGAATGAAAAAGAAGGAATAAATATTTAAAATACACAATATTTTGTATTATTTCATAGCCCGCAGTTGATTAAAGAGTATAAAGTTATGAAATAATAACAAAAGGTGATTTTTTAAATTTATAAGAAGACGTAGTACCTTCGTTTATAACTGATTAAATGTAAAGATAATATAACACGTTTTTTAAGTACATACGAGGTAATTTTTATTTTACAGCCGAATTATACTCTTATGATGATCGTTCACCGTTAACCGAATCTAGCGTCAGCTTTCTGCAAATCATTCCGTCCTTCGATCAGGATATACGATGGGCGAATGATTTGCGTAAAAATCGCTGTTCCGACTGAATGAATATTCAGACAGGCGCAGCGAAACAAAACATTCGAGTACAATGGGTTCATGCTCCATCGAAAGAGAACGAAGTAAACGAACAATTCTATCGCGAATCGACCGACGACGTTAAGTGTAGAAATACGCCGACGTTATAAACGGAAAACGATAACTCGGAGGAATTAGTGAACGACAACAGAGTCGGTTTATTACGTGGAAGGTTCGTAGCATTCCTTTCTCGTTACACGAAATGCGCTAGAATAGTTTGTACTGTACAAATCATTGTTACAAACGATTACATGCGTTCCTCAGTTTTCTTTCTCAAGCAATCACACACACCAGCAAGATACGTGAACAGAGATCGTCTCGTATCTCTGTACTCTGTACAACACAGGTGACTACATATGTATAACTATTCAGTTCCACATTTGAAAGATACGATTTAATTGTACGACGTCACCGAGTAAGATCAACGTTAATTAAACGTGTGTATCTGTTATTTTCTGTCAGCGGAGAGAACGCTACGATATAATGTTATTAAAAAGGCAACTGTTCAACGAAAATCTTCAGTTTGCGATCTACAATCGTCGTCTAAATTTGTCGAACGTACTTTCCCTTAGACGATTTATAATACTGTTGGAAATTATTATAAGTAGTAGGTGAAAACGTCCACTGCTACGAAGATGAACGTAGTTCATCGAAATGAAACTGAGTTTTACAAATCTGTTACGATTTATTAAATAAATCACGACTTATTCTACTAGCGGTCGTTATCATTTTAGAAAACGTGCATATAAAAAGAGCATATATCGTGAGTGATATGAATCTCTTTTAAAGTTAACGTTACGCGAGATCGACGCTCGAACATTTGCAACGTCCAGAGAAGGAAGATCGTTGGAGGTTCATTACAATTACAGAGTAATTACGTCGAGAGAACTTAACTTATGCAGACGTTTCATTAACGACCCATCCACGTCTCATTACCATTGAGTAGCAACAATTAACATTAGCGTTATTATTTCGCTTATAATATTCTCAGAGAGTCTCTGTTACAAGTCATTATAAAAGTAGCAAAATAACTTAATCGAGGCTGAGCGTGTTTTTCAATATGGAAGGCCAGGGTTTTAAACATGTGTATACCCATACGTTGATAACAGTCTGTGTCGTGCAAGATCGTCGAAAAAAATTCAGTTAACGAGTAGTTTCTCCTGAAGCGTGCAAGAGATCATTTGACGCAAACGAATTTCGCGTGAGGCGAGAGCATAAAGATTCGTGGAGAACAGCAATGAGTAAAACTTAATTATGGTTGGCACTAAATTCTTGCAACGTAAACGATATTCACCTAAACGCCGGTCGATAATTCATCTAGTTCTATCAAATCAATCGGCTAAACTTAATACGATCGTTTACATTGTAATGATGCAAAGTCTAGAACTGAGAACTTATTTGGCATCATTGTTTGTAGCTCGACAGAAAGAAGCGCGTGACATTGCGCGTTTGGGAACGCTATTACTCTTTACTACTACCATTATGTTATATTAATAATTGTAACCGATGTTAGAGATTCTAACAAGTGGAACGAGCAACGTTCCTCTCATCGAATCGCGTGTTGAAAGTGAGACGTATACCTCACATAGATGCTGCGTACATAGGTGCAATTACTATCACCTTCGACCGCTATGAACCGTCGGTCACATCGGACAAGCTTTGAACTCGTTGCATTGTCGTCATTGAAAATAAATTTTTAACGCGTTACAACGTGCAGCAATTAATTATATTTCCCCGGTTCTCTTTCGCGTCGACGAACGAACTCGGGGGATTTGTAATTCTAACATAAAACAATATTGACTAACATCGACGCTCTTATCGTTATACCCTTGCAACGAACGCGTTTCTTTTTTACGTTTAATCAGCGATTATATCGTATAAGCACAATCACATTTTATTTGAGCATTTTAAGCGATAGATAAATATCAAAAGGTTTCATTGTACGCAACACGATATTTGCAATATACTTTTATCGTAACGTTATTCTCTCTTCTTCTTTATCTATAACTATAACGGACATTTTTCATTTCGCGGAGTTCGAATGTACTCGCAATTCGTTGTCTCATAGAAATCTCATAAAATCAAGGAATCGATTCATTACATGCCCACCTCCGTCGTTAACTACAGTTTAATCGCATCGCTTTGTTTCAACGATAATTAACCGAATATCACTAAACGCAACAAGGATGATGATTGCAATGCTTTTTCCAAGTACGTTGACGCATTCCACGCAGTACGTCTATTTAAAGAATTCGCGTCCCTCCGACTTTTAGCACGTGCTCGTACAAGATCTACAGATTCTTGTCCCTTCTTTTTATGCTCAGTTTCGCTGAACGCGACTACAGCAATAGTTAATTTGTTCATACCCGATTACGTTAATTATTTTATTATCTGACTGGACGTGTGCTGTTTCGTGTGCAAATGCAGTCTTCCCTAACTAAAATCGTTCGATTTAATTGTGCTCGAGCAATGATTAAACATATACGTTATTCCCTTCGACGTACAGTGTACGTTACAATTGTTAACTACGCGCGTGTTCCTTCTTGTTGCAGCTTAGACTAGTTTCAACTGTGATGACACGTTTAGACAACAGTACAAAATAAATTAACGACTTAATCAAATTAAAATTGACAGTTACTCCTATGTACGAAACGAATAAATAGAAAACTACATGGACCGTGCAACTACGAACACCAGAATTCTAACTATCAACATCGTTAAATTAGAACTTACGTAAATCTATGATACCTGATTACTGGATGGAGTATGGAATGTGTTATATATATATCATTCTTTAGTATAAAGCTATTAATGTCACAGCGTTTCAATGCTGTAAGACGATTTTAAAAAACATTATTTAGCGAGAGTGCCTTTTGCAATGTCATAACATTTTCTCTTTTTCTTTTTCGTGTATAGATGTTGTCGTTTGTAAAGTGGATTAGAAAATGTAAAAGCTGCTAAATATGTACACTCTTTAATAATTAATATCGCAGAAGATCGTTCTTGTAGCGTGTTCCATCGTTACGTCTTCGTTCACTGATCGCATCAAATATCTTTGTTAGCGTAGATCGCATACCTCGAGGCTCGTACTTCGATCGACTTAATGATCATAGACTTACGTCGCCGTATTCGAAGCTCCACTTCTCGTAAGCGGCTAGACTCGCGGGCGATACCGATCTGCGTATTCTTTTAAGCGAATCACGAAAGTCTTGCATCGTTATGTTGCGCACAGAATTAAGATCCAGTTCCTTCACTTGATCTAGATTCAGTTCTACACAATGTTAATACATCATTTTTATAAATCCTCTTATTAAGAATTTATGATACGATTCATGTTTATTAAATTGGCTGGCCTCGATTTTTGTGTCCAGCCACTAGATCTCGAGTGAGCGTAAAAGGAAAGGGTATAATTAAAGACAGCTAGAAAGTTTCATTTACCTCTGATAGGACCGAGAGCCGCGTCTTTCGCTAGACCCGTCAAATCGCTTCCCGAATATCCCTCGGTCAGAACTGCCATTTCGTTCAGTTCGATCGTTGTCAACGGGTCATTGTGTTTAGCTAGAAGCCGTTTGAGTAACGTGATCCTTGTTCGCAAATCTGGCAACGTAACGTATACTCGTTTCGTGAATCTCCTCAAAGCGGCTTCGTCCAATTCTTGAGGCCTGTTAGTAGCAGCCATGACTAGCACCCTCTCCTCTGGATTGCACGGCAAACCATCGAATTCGACCAAGAATTCTGTTTTCAATCGCCTGTACGGTAATCCCGAGTTACACACGTGGTAATGGTATCGCGCGCTAATGACAAGTTCAAACAGATTTACCTCGAGGCTTCGTGTTCGTTATCTCTACGTTCGCTCAACAGTGAATCTACTTCGTCGATAAAGATCACAGACGGCTGTAGTTCCCGCGCTATGCCGAAAAGAGCTCGTACCAGTTTCTCTCCTTCCCCCACGTACTTCGACGTGAGACTAGCAGCGGATATCGAGAAGAACGTGGCATTGCACTGAGTAGCCACGGCGCGAGCGAGTAATGTCTTCCCGTTCCCCGGCGGACCGAACAGTAGTAACCCTCTCGCAGGCGTCCTTAAGCCAGTGAACAATTCTGGTCTTAACGATGGCAAAATGACCATTTCCTGCAGTGCCTGTTTCGCGGTCTGTTTCGTTAAGAAATACAGGATGTAAGTTTGCGTCTGTTACCAGTTCTTCCGTCCACGCGTAATTGAAATGTCTACGAACGTCTTGCCCAGCGATATCCTCCCAGTGCACGGCTGTTCCTCCTTCTAAAATTTCGTCCAAGATAACTTGCGCGAGCTTCGGATCTATACCCTTTAGGATCGGTGCTTTCCGCGTTGGCGTTCCTCTGTTACTGTTCGACGCGGTAGGGGTTCCTGGTCTTCTGATAGGCGAACCATTTCCAGGTACGGACAATTGTCTCTTCACCGACGGTGGTGTGGACGATGGTTTTATGGGGGTGACTCGGTGGCAAGGTTGAACCGACGTCGAACGACCCATGCTACGCGGTAACGTTTGACTCTTGCTGATCGCTGTACCCATTCGTTTTCCAGGAACGGATAATTTTCTCCCCGATGCTACGAGAACATAAAGTGCGTAAGACGAGTCGGTCGCAATGCATAGGAGTCCAAACGCAAAGCGATTAGTATCGTTAGACAGAAACTCTTCTCAAATCTATGCAAAGAATAAGATACAAGACAAACGTTTCGCAATGAACGATACAATTGTTAACGTAAGTTAATTGCAAAAGAATCGTAGTATACAATATGCATGTGACGTGTGCGAAACGTATCGTTCTAATGATAAGTAATACACGTATATTTTAAGAGAAAGCTTTACATGGACATCAAAACTCTGCGACGAACTTAAACTCCGAACATCAATAATGTAATAATAAAAAGGGCACATTTCTTTTCGGGAGACGAATGCGAGGGACATCTTTATAAATTATTTAACATATTCTTCGAATAACGAAATTCTTCAGTCTCATGCACATCCCTTCTCTCTCGATTCATTCGATGTCTCATGCATATTTATATATGTTTTTCTCTCGTATACGTATACGTACACTGCTCTACTCTGTTCTCGAATTGCTCAATCTAAGTGAACTACGTTGCGTACTACGTATAAAAAAATGGCACCGATCGTAAGGATCGGTGTGACAACATGTCTACGTCTACTACTTGTTGCGATACAACGGTAAGTAATCAGCTGATGCAGTTGTGCGTAACGTTAACAATGGAAAAGAAGAAAAGATTTTTAGGGAAGCAATTAAGAAACGCTTGCTCGAAGTCAATATTGTAAGCCGTTAAACTTCAGACGAACAGTACCTTCGGAATGGGCAGAATAATTTTTTGGAGAGCGTGGCCTTAACTTGGGAATTTGGGTGCATGTATTCTGCCCTACGTTCACTGTTTGTGTACTGTTTGTGTTTTTAGTGTTGTGATTTGTATTCAAAGGAGACCGAGTCGTTTGTAACGTGTGCATGTTACGTCGGGCCCTCAGATTCTTGCCCGGATGTTCGTTGTCCATTTTACTTCCAGATGTACGATATTCATCGGAGATATCCAGTTTTTTCAGCTCACACACACTCACTACAAAAAGGAAAAACATTCTCTGCCATGCTGCAGTAGGCTGAATAGCTAAGTACAGATTCGATCTTCGATCAATTGTCTCGACGCTCTCTCTCGGATTCGTAAACTATTTGACTAGTTAATTAAGACTCGAAACGAATGCGCGTACGGCTGCTATACGAAGTTCGACTACCAGTTTGTACGTGTAATAAAGATCTGCGTCGTTCGTTAAGAAATGAAAAAGAAAGGAAACGTATTGTGCCAAAAGTAAAACCATTGAAAGAAAGGGATAAACGCGCGCATGCATACACGTACAGATACGCTCCGTCATGAATACACGCGCCCACGCACGCACACACACACGCGTGAACATTGTAGAACAATTAACACATGAACATGCTAAAATACATTGACATCGCGTCACTCCTTAAGCTGCACCATAAACTGTACGAGAGAAAAATTCATAATGACGAGTGCGACTGATAAGTAACTAATTGTAACTGCATTAATGTGGCTGACTTGGAACAGCTTAAGAAACGTATGTTCTATGTACAGCTCGGGATATCGATTTACGTACCAAGGAAGTCGAGCCTGTCCTTTGCCATAGCCAAATTCGTGCGCATTTTATCGTGAAGTCTTTGTGCATGTTCCCATACTTCCCCACGGCCACCGTTGCATTCGATGGCGATCCCTTTTTCCAACTCGCCGATTCCCTTCTTGTAAAGTTCAATTGCCATTTCCTTCTGACCTGATAAAAGCGTGGAGTAACGAGCATTAGAGAGGACCGATTGCACGGTGGAATAGGTCATTCTTACGCCGTGTACAGTATGTCGACGTCGTACCTTCATTGTCCTCGTCAATCTTCAGTGCCTTACTGATGAATTCGAACGCTCTACGATGATGATGCTTCTGTTTAGCAAGTAAAGGATCTCCTGGGCCAGGGCCGATGGATCTTCTAGGTACTTGCGACATCCCGTCGTTCTCTGTCTGCCCGGTCGCAGTTAAATTGTTATTCGTCAAACTGTCGCCCGACTTCTGGCCAACTACGACCTCCAGCTGGCAGGTCTGCTTGTAAGCTTGTCTCCGCTGGATCAGCTGAGACGTGGATGTGTACAAATACTTAAACACCACGTACAACTGATAGAGAAGCGTTCTCAGAACATTGAAAAGCACTATCAAAGGGTATGAAACAATATAGAGATTACGTTTGTGTACCGACGGCTGAGGGGCGTCGAGAAAGCGGTGGCTATGATGGTAATGATTGTGATGATGATTACTGCAGTTGATGGTGGTTATCGTTTTATCGCTATTCTCATTCTTCGTCACGCAAAGCTTTTTCGGCGACTTGGTGCCGTACTTTCGTATTGGACGCCCGCCATCGCTGTAAGACATTTCCTATCGGAGATCTTTGAATTCGTACGGTACGCGGTACACTCTTTATCGACAAATAGAAGCCGAGTCGAACATTCTGACATTCCCAAAACGTGTTACACGTAGATAATCGACGAACGACTTTTGAATTGTCTTATATCGTTTTGTTCGTAAACATGTTTCGTTTTTGCTTGGAGGTGCGTCGCGTGTTTCCAGTGTTTCGATCGTTTTCAGTTTTCACTGACAAACAGGAGCGACAGGCGAGAATGAAGCAAGACGAGAACGACAGGATTCGGAATTCCGTGATGTTACGAATCGATGAGTCTCGAGCGAATCAGCGAGGTTCGCGTTCTTCTTCACCATTGCTTGTTTCGGTGCGCGTTCAACACGGAACATCGATGAACAACAATGAATTTACAAACATCGACGAGCGCTGCCTTTTACAAAATCGTGTATACAAAATATGTACATACATACACACATGAAGACAGAGACATACTCGTTCTACGTGCACCTTGCCATTTACTTCGTCTAACATGTATGCATCGAGGAGATATATGTATATATCTATACCTATCAGTCAGTGCAGTCGACACGAAATAGATTACTTCAACAATGCACTTGCGCTCTTGCGTCGTGTGGACGTGCACATGCGTATATTTAGATGTCTGCGTTGTATACTGTTGTCAACGTGGTACTTTCAAATTCGATAAACATATATTGATACTTTGTTCACTCACCTTTTTGGAAAATTGCCGAAATCTTGTCCAGCGAGCAACGTTTATACGATGCAGTTGTTGTGCATCGGATAAAATTGACGCAGCTCTTGCAACGGTGGCGGATGCTTTTGAAATAGCAGTATCAAATTGTATTTAGAGGCAGCATGCCGTTATTCCGCAGCACGATAATTGAATTGTTATAAAATCAAACCGAACAATGAACTGGCATCTGCCTTTTATCGGTCGTGGCACGTGACTGAAGTACGAGAGTCTCGTATAGAGGTCCTCTCGTATCGTCGGGCCGCCATTTTCTTTGTCAGTTCTGCGTTTTACATTCCAGAGATTGCATCGAGGCAAAATGTCGTCCGCAAGTGGTGACGAAAGCGAGATTACTTTAAATGAACCTGGTAAGCTGATTATATTCTTGAATGAAACCGCGTTTAATGCGCCGCGGTGTCGCGTCTCGGTTCGCGTACGTACGCATTTACGCGGGGCGAAACAAAAATGTGAATACACCCGGCGGGCGGATCACAGGGATGTGCAAACCGCCATTAAACGAATGGCGTCTCACACACGCATATAATGTGTAAATAGTCGAGTTAAATTTTCGTGATCACGTTTCGGAGTTCGTCGTTCTTGTTTCAGTACGCCGCTCGACGAGGTCCACCCGTGCACGTAAAACTGCCGTAGTGGCCAAGAAATCTCCCGTCAAGAAGCTTCTGGCAAGGGCGACACATTCCCCGAAAAAAGTTCCAGAGCTCGAGGAAGTCGAGGTAGGTATATCCTGATAATTTTACAGATGATTCCAGAAATGGTTGTGTCGTATAATTGTCGTCGTGCTGCGTGTTACAGGAGGAACCAGTCCTGCAGGAGGAAGTGGTTATGGAGAGCATACCAGAGAATGGTGTGCAAAGATTTGGTAACATTATCATTGAACAGCCGGGCGAGGACGATGGGTCTATGTTACGCTTAGAATTAGAAGACTCCAGCGACGCGACTGTTCATGAAATCAATATGAACCAAAGCGTGGAAATAGCAGTTCAAGAGAGTGTACCTGATTTAGAGGCGTCTGCCTCTCAGATTGTGAGTGCCTGCTCTGAACAACAATCGAGTAAAGAAGTTAAGTTTGAAAGAAGTCACGTTACGTTCTGTATCATTGTTTTCACAGGATCATGCCAACGTGGTGTCCGATGCTATGATCGTAGAGGAAAGTAGTATGGACAAAGTCGATATGTTGAATGCACACGAACGAATGGACGTGGATGGACAAGATGTCTCCAACGATGGAACGAATCAGCGCGTGTTGATCGATTTTCAAGAAGTGATTAACGACGGTGGGGAGGCGATGACCCAAGGGTCGGAAATCCTGGAGACAGAGGAAGTTGAATCGGAGACCGTGATCGACGAAGGTACTGGAATTGAAACCGTGGTGGTAGATCGAGGAGAGATGTCAGAAAGTATGAAAAGAGTTACACGAAGAATTGTGACTGACACAGACACGGTGCAAACGAGAGAAGGAATGGAGATGACGGAGGGCGATTTGGAATGCTCGCCTGAGAACTCGGTGAAGAAAACTGAGCCCGACACGGAAGCTGTGTCGGAGGATGAATTGCCTACTGAAGCTGCAGCGAAGGAACCCGAGACGGAAGCGGTGTCCGACGAAGAGTTGCCAGCAGCGGCTCCTGCGGATTTGGGGGAGACCGAATCAGTTTCCGAGGACGAACTACCGTTAGACAGCGAGAAGAAGAAGAAAGGCGGAGCGAAGGGGCTGGGCAAAATTCCCGGGAAGAAGAGTAAAACTGAGGGCACGAGTAAGTGGGAAGAAATGAAAGTTTTCACAAGGTATTCTACTCGATAATCGTTTACATCGCGCGATGTTCGCTGTTTACAGATAAACGTAAATTGAACGCGGAGGGAGAATACGATCCTAGTTCCCCGACGTCTGAAAATAACGACGAAACACCGGCTAAGAAAGTCGCGCTTCTCTTAACCGAGACGGACGCCAGTGACGCTAAACAAGAAGCTAAACCGGCGTCGCCAAAGAAGAAGACATTGCCGGAGTTGGAAAAGTACTGGAAAGCCGTCAACGAAGATCCATCGGACTTCACGGGATGGACGTACCTCCTCCAATACGTCGATCAAGAGGTGAGTGAGTCGAAAAACGAGATGACTGAACGTCTTTGAAACGTGTGGGCGGCGTGACACCACTCTTTATCATCTACTTTTTATCACCCAGAGTGACGCCGAAGCTGCGCGCGAGGCTTATACCAAATTTTTGGAGCGTTATCCATATTGCTACGGTTACTGGAGAAAGTTCGCCGATTACGAGAAGAAGAAGGGGAACCCCGAAAATGTCCAAAGGGTGAGTCACTCCTTTAGCATTTTCATTAGGTCTACTTCTCATTATGATATCATTTAATTAACGCAATCTAATGAAAATAGCTCGAGTTAGGAAGACGCGTGGGCAGTGTGCACGCACGTAAATATGGTTTTCCCTTCCAACAGCCTAGCACGTCTTGCGGCACCTATACGACTCTCTCCGTTTACCAAACAGCTAGTTACTTAATTATTCTGCGATATATACGATATTATTGCGATTATTACTGTTTTACTTATAATCGTTGTATCGATATCTCTACGTGCGATACGTAAGTCAAGCGAAGGCTAGTTGTTCTCATTTTGCGATTTATTACCGTGCAATCGATTGTGTGTATTATTTACTTGTAAGCATTTGTACACATAGCTTACTACTGAAAAGTATTGTAAACTTAAGCATAAGATGCGGTACCTTACTTAATGTAAGTAAGATTGGGTTGGGTGTTAAATCAAAGTCAGAAACAAAGACTTAGGACGTGAACATGCCAGAGGGGGAGCAAGAAAATGTGGCGGAAGAGACAGAGGCACCCAGATCGGAACACTCCTTGACTCTAAGGTGAATGCACAATGCTCTGCAATCTCTGTGTTAATTAAATCTCTTTATTTACAGTACGCGTACGATCTGTGAGTATACGTTGCTAAAAAAAAAACCGTAACGCTTATCGAGAGCTAAAAAACAAAACAAAAGAACGAAATAGGTATAAGTCTACCCACACCAGCCCAATCGCTTGTAAATTGTCCTAAAATGTGATTGCAAACCGTTACTACAGGTATTCGACCAGGGCTTGAAAGCTATTTCGCTCAGTGTCGATCTTTGGCTTCATTACATCAACCATTGCAAAACTGTTTATGAAAAGGACGAAGAGAAACTTCGGGAACAATACGAAAGAGCGATCCAGGCGTGTGGTCTTGAATTCAGGTTCGGATCGATTTGCTTCTTTTAATGCGTCTCGTATCTCGTACTCGAATCGAATTAAAACGTGTCGCGTTTCGATCTGTTTTTAGATCCGATCGTCTCTGGGAAAGCTACGTAAAGTGGGAATTGGAAGGCAAACGTCTGAGCAGAGTGACAGCCTTGTACGACCGTTTACTGTGTACACCTACGCTCGGTTATATTTCACATTTCGATGCGTTTCAAGAGTTCGTTTCCTCAAACTTACCGAATCGTATTTTAAATGTTGACGATTTTCTTGCGTTACGTGCTGAGGTGAAAGCACTTTTGAAATCGGATGACAATACTTCTACTTCAGCAGCGGACGATGCACCGCCCGGAGAAGAACCGCCCCCACACGAACTTCCGCCAACCGACGAAGAAACCCGCGCCCTTAGGGAAAAGATTATTAGTAGCAGGCGCAAAATGCACAAAGCAAACATTAACGCGGTTGCTGCGAGATGGTCGTACGAGGAGGGTGTAAGTATCCGCGGATAGTTCGCCGTTGCGATTCTTCGTTTATCGTTCACCGTACGATCGTTGTCCATACAGATTAAGAGGCCGTATTTCCACGTGAAACCGTTGGAGCGATGTCAGTTGAAAAATTGGAAAGAATACTTGGATTTCGAGATCGAACAAAAAGATCAGAACCGAATAATTATATTATTCGAAAGGTGTCTGATAGCGTGCGCTCTCTACGATGAATTCTGGATGAGAGTAAGTCTCGTTTGTCCCCGGTTAATGAACGTCTCTACGCCGAATATCGTGTTAACACTGTACAATTGTTACTTTTATAGTTCGTTCGTTATTTGGAATCGCTGAAGGGTGACAACGTGGACAAAATAAGAGACGTATATACCAGAGCTTGCATGATACATCATCCGAAGAAGCCAAATTTACATCTACAGTGGGCAACGTTCGAAGAGGGTCAGGGCAATTTTGAGAAAGCGGCGACCATATTGGAGAACATTGATAGTGTGATACCGAACATGTTACAAGTAGCCTATCGAAGAATAAACTTGGAACGTAGGAGAGGCGATTTAGATAAAGCTTGTACATTGTATGAAAATTATATTACCAATAGTAAGAATAGAGCTATCGCGAATAACATCGTAGTAAAGTACGCCCGTTTTTTATGTAAAGTGAAGAATGATGTGGACAAAGCGATTAAAGTGCTGCTGAAGGTATGGTCCCGCCGATCCTTATTACGTTACGATTTCATCGATCTCGTTGTAAATATTTTTCTACTGTCTTCAGGCCACGGAGAAAGACAAAGATAATCCGAGGCTTTATCTGCAATTGATCGACTTGGGTATGCAACGAACCCCTGTCGATACCCAGGAAATCGTGGGATACATGGACATGTTCATCGAGCGTGAGCACGCCGATCTCGAGCAGAGAGTGCTGTTCGCACAGCGTAAAGTAGAGTTCCTCGAAGACTTCAGCCCGGACATACGACAAGTGTTGAAGGCGCATGAACAATTCCAGAAGTGCATCAAGCAAGCGAAGGAACGAAAGAAAACGAAAAACGATGACGCCAAAATGTGAGTATCGTCTTCAGAAAAATTTTTACGAGCTGCCCGTCGGACGCTTAACTGGATGGCACGCGTTTTATGTTCGACAGAGACACTTCTCCCCCGAAGAAAGTTAAAACCGATCAATCGAGCGTTCCGCCTCCGCCGTCCGTGAGTTCACAGTCGTCGTATCAGTACAGCAGCGGCCCGAGCGGACCTTATCAATCTCAGCAGCAATTTCAAAGCGGTCAGTATGGCGGTCAAGGTGGATATCAGCAAGGCTATCAACAGTATCCGCCTCCGTCCGATCCCAACTATGCCAATTATCAGAATTGGCAGTACGGGCAGGGTGGACCGCAAGCGTACGGACCGTACAATCAGTGGGGATCTTACAATTACTATTAGTGGACGATACGAAGTTTCCCTTCTATCAGCTTTCGTTGCGTTGCTGTATCTATTGTACATTTTATAATCTTTATTTTTTCGTCTAAGGATAACCGAAAAAGAAACAGAAAAGAAACAAAATTGTTCAAAGTTCCAATGACACATCAGTGACCTGACACGTATAGTAATAATCCACACGTCTTACTGATGTTCACTTTCGAAACGAACGAACGAACAAACAAACGGTCTTACACACGAAGTTCTTAATCGAATGCAACACGGTGCAGGAAACACGAAAGAATCTTCGATCAACGCCGAGTAACAGTTACTACTTGACTACAGTCGCGACACGACACGACACATAATTGATAAAAATTGCCATACAGTGTGAAAGCAAGGTAGTACTTTACGTCAAATATTTTTCAACTACTCTGTCTGCATCGTTGAACTTCTAATTCTATTTTAATTTTATTCCGTGACGTTTCGTTGTTTCTTCAACAGGAATCTAGCAGTTCACGAACGTTGCCTACGATTTGCGATAAGTATTGTTTTCGCGTACTTAGCCTAGGACGTTATGGTCTTTTTTCTGGTCTGCCGATGTGCGTTGTACGTATTGTTTACGAAAGAAAATATGTAAAGACAGTACGTAGCCGCCCTTCGTGAGGCGCTCATGGAATGAACACTGTTAACGTTTGTCAGCCAACTTTTACGATATGAATTACTTGAGGAACAGACATTAACTTTGTATGACTTGCGTTCTGTTACAAGGATTAGGCTCGTTTAGGTATTTTACTTTTGAATTGCAAGTGCACATTGTTTTGTACGTTGGAATTTTGCATTTGTAAGTAAAATTGGAACACTCTGTCGTGCGTATAGAAGTCACATACATTAAAATGGAATTGATCAAAAGATTTTACTGTATGTGAGATTTTATAATATGCAATAAACAAAAATTTGTATAAACAGATCTGACAGGCACGGAGCAATGCTTGTATTGATTTAGAATTCAATGTGTATTTGTCATTGTCGAAAAGAGAAATATCAGTTTTATTTCAGTCGGAATCGACGTTCGAATTCATTTGCCGATTAAATTAATGGCTTTAAACGATGTTGCTTAGATCGTCTGTATGTACGTATAATTAATCGTGGTAACGAGTCGCTGCATGGGTAAAGATAGAATAACTTGTAACAAACACGTTTATCTCTTTATTATGAAAACGTTATTATGACTCTAAGTAATTATAATTGTGGAAACTTCATATCCTTATAATATTTATCGCAGGCTTGCAATTTTACTTAACGAATCGAGTGTCTATGATATATTTGCTCTCTGAAACATGTTATACGAAGTTGTTTAGAATACAAGCGACTATAACGTTCGTATTTGAGTTAGTAAAAAAAAATATAACTTTATTGCGGAGAAGTTAAATATTAGTTATAAAAGGCATTTTTGCTATGCGACCATAGCACTTGTAGCCTCCATGTTGACTCCGCAGGTACCGTCGCCTCTGTAAACTCTGTAATAGCCATGCTCTCCCCAACTGGCGCCCCAGCTGTTCTTTATTATCCAATATGGTAATTCTTTGTGGAAGATAGGATATTCTGAAAAGAGCAATCATTTTCTGAGCGTGCTGCGACGACACTAAACGCAACGAATCGAGCTCGAAGAAGAGGATAATACGTACTGCTTTTACCGTATCCAACGATCAACACCCCGTGATCCAAGTCCGTGGGGCTGCACAAGAAGTGGGGAGGGTGCGAGACTCCGCCAATGTAGAACTGCATGGCATTTGCATTGATTCCGATCGAGATCGGGCCGTGTTTAACTAACCACTGTGCAATTTGTGTCTCGTTCGTCGTAATGTTTACGGACGAGGTGACTTGAACCTTGGCTTCGTCCCGTTTGAAGGTACATTTTTCATCTTTCTCGTCGTACGGGTAGTCGGATTCCGTTTCGAGGCCACCTAACGCTTCTATTGCTTTGTAAGCGTTTGTCATCTCTCCGCCGTTGCACCCTTCGTCGAGTGTGTCGCAGTCGAGCAACTCTTGTTCGGAGAGCGACAACAATTTTGCATGTTTGATCGCGTATTGTCCCTCCACGTTTCCAGTCACGGAAAATGCCCAACACGATCCACACTGTCCTTGATCTTTGACAGGCGTGACTACACCGTGATCACGCCAATCGAATTTAGGTGGCAGAGGAATGTCCGGTATTGCGGCCTGCGCGAGAGGAATGTCGTTCTCCAATCTTAGTTCGCGACGAAAGCCCAAGTGACGAGCTTTGAATTCTTTCGGTGTTAAGTCTGCGAACATCGTTACACCGTATTCGGCTGTTCCACGCTCGAACATTTGCAGATCTTTGATCAGCTTTAGATTCTGTCGAAAAATTTTAAAACGGTTTTGTGTCTCTCTCGGTGAATCGTACGTCTTATTGAATTTCTTAATGAAATCCTCGAACATGCCCTCGTGTTCGATCTCTTCGGCCATTCTCAACATCTTTTCACTGTACTGACTACCCTTCAACGATCGTTTGCGTCGATTGTTGCTCAAGTCGCAGTTGACGGTGATCTTAGGAGATCCGTGGTCTATCCACGGCTGAGACCAAGCGGTGATCAGACAATCCTTGACCTCGCTTCCTTCCTTTAGTTGACAATTGTTTTTAGTGCCCTTCGGACAATTGCTCGTACCTAACTTGACCTTGACTTTGTATAACGTTCCAGATACTACTTGTTCAGAAGCTTCGACGATTTGTACTATCATAGGTTCGTTCGAACCCTCGGAATTTTCCGAGAATTTCTGCAACCCTTTTTGAACGATTTCCTGTATGTAGGGATCGTCGATGTTCTTGGTACTCGGCGCACCAACGAGACCCGATCTTTTCCTTCTGTAAACAGACTTCTTTCTATCGATCGTACTGTCTACCTTCTTCGGGTAAATGATCTCTTCCTTAACTTCCTCTTTGTCGGGTTCTGAAGTTGGAAGCGTCTCTCTTGTTGGCAGATCGAAGTCTTGCAGAAATTCTCCGAATTCCTTAGCTCTATCCTTGAATCCTTCGACCATGGTATCGTCATCGGTCTTATTTAAAATAACTTTCAGAATAGGGTGCTCCGTGACCTCAGCTAGATCCGATTCTGCGTTCTTTCTGATCGTCGCAGTGGTATAGTCGTCCAGCGAATCTCTCAAATTTTCCAAAGCTTCCGATTTTTCACGATTCGTTTCTTCTCTCTTGGGTCCCGGTGTCACAAGCGATTGACTGGCTAATCCCGAATAAGAATCAACGTTCTCTTTTCTCTCAATGTTAATCTCTGCATTGTCATTCGTAGTACAATTGTTCCTCGTTATTCTACGAGTAGACTGTTGCCAGGGTTGTTCTTCGAACGTTACCAAGCACAACTTGATAGGATGATTCTCTAGTAATGAACACTCTGGCTGATCTACTGCATTTTTCAGGCAATCAGATTCTCCTAAGCGTAACAAAATTTGATACTGTACAACGTTAGACGAAGGTGGGACAGCACGGTGTACTTGAACGATCTCGACCACTTTGTGCTTGAAATCATTACGTATCGATTCATCCATTGATCTTGCAGCTTGTTCCCCAAAAACAGCTAGCCCGGGTAAGTTTGGATTTAGTTCGTACGGACATCCGGGACAATAATTGGGATCGGAGATCCTATTGGCTATAAACGGACTCTCGTTATGATCATTATTCTGAGTCTCACCGTCGGGTACAGTAGTCTGATTAGCAATGATTTGCTTTTCAACATTGTCGACGACTTGATCCTGATTCTGAGTGTTCTCCTGCAGTATATCATCCTGCATCAGATACATGCACACAGTGGATTCTCTCAGAACGTGTATGTCTCCCAGTTCATGTTTCTTCACGTCAATCGTGCACGTCTCCTTGGGACAAGGTTCTAACGTTTCCTTGCAAATAGGAGTTAAATCGAAGGTGAGCCTGTATATCACGTACGGTGATTCATCCTAAAAACGAAGAAATCGAGTGAGAACTTTTATTCCGATTAACAAGATTCACTGTCAAATTTCGTCATTGTTCCCAGTAATCTGACATTTGTAGGACTAACAAAGAACAGCGTACCAATTCTTGCGCGTTGATCAGGTTACCGCCCTTGTACGTGTGATGCGTCGGGGAGTACTGGTTCAAGAAGTTCAAGGCACTTTCAATCAAAGGTTCAGGTACGTTCTGCACAGACTTATTCGCGGGCACAGAATGTACGACGATCGAGTTAACGAGAAATAAAAATAAAACGCGTGTGACGTAAAGCAGAGAGCCTGCCATTTTACTGGACGTACGGCACGTATTGGATTGACCTCCAACTGACGCAGATGACTCCTTGCCCGACTCTTTATACGTTTCTTTGTATCATTTAATCAAAAGTGATAATTAATTCTACGCACTTTTGTCCGATGTATTCTGACTGTTCAGTTTTCATGCAGTACGTTTACGCAACGTGAACGAAAGCGCATTCCACACGGGTTTCGAGACGTACGACGCAACGATGAAAAGTAACTTGGTAAAATAAAAATAGGAATGACAATAACAGATAATTGACGATCTTTTGTGCTCACAAAAATGTATACTTTAGGCGCCAGCTTATCTTATTGCGTACCGTGCGAAAGGCATTGTTCGTATTGCATCGAAGATATAGTATAATTAAGTAATTTTCTTCAATTAAACTGACAGTTATACATATATATATAATTCTGTGTATAAAGAAAAGAAAAAGGCATTCGTTTCATGTAAATTTATTGTACATACATCTCATGACTTCAAACGATTATATTTTTAGACAACCTATACGGATGCCGCCGATATATTACGCGGGTCAAATTTACATAAAACAAGTTTTCAGTCGTTAATTATTTGAAAATATTACTATTTGTTTAAGGAATTCCTCTTTAAAATATGTGTATACTGAAAGATCTAATCACGCCTGAACATCTTTTCAAGGTTCATCTTTATATTTGCCCGCCGGTGTGAAGCGAGCGCTGATCGGTGCTGACGGCACTGACGCCATGATGCGCGGCCATGTTGAAGTCGTCGAGGAACGGCAGCTGTTTCGTGTCGTAGTGATCACCTGTTTTCTCGGGAAAACGACGCATTTACGAAATTTGGTGATAATTCATCCACGTTACATGGCAAGGCGTTGACCGGCGTTGGTAAGAGAACATTTAAGTACCATAATTTGCGTTAGATAAAGTTCGTACAAGGTACAAAGTAACGAAGTACTACATTGCGGCTAAGTATCGATTTTCTACTTTACTCTAGCTATCGTTCGCCTCACGTTCTTAATATTATTGAAACCGATGTTTTTCAACTATTTCTGTATCTCTTTCGTCGGAGTCTTTTCATGTGTAAGTGTCTGGGAGAGGTTAAGATGTCGTGTTCTTACCATTACGTTTGAGTATTACAATATGATTTATATTACAATATTCGTGTCTTAAAACAGACAACAGTGTATTGTGTGACATATAATGCACGATATTAGTGAGTTAGTGGCCATAAAACTCCACTGCTGACTAACGAGATCAGCATGAGCGTAAGTGTGTCTGACAATCGGCATAATGAGTGATTGTTAAATTAAATGACCTTGTGCTTAAATTGCTTAGTAAGTATTGTGTTATGTCGGTACGAACAAATTCTTAATGCATGTTAATCGATGTACGTAATTAATTATCGTAAGTATGAAATATTATGCGGTGAATATTTCTTTCTACGACGAGGGATCTACCATCTTGAGAAATATATTTCCCGCGTAGAATTCAGAGGTTCGTAATTCCGTTGTTCGATTGGTGCTTTCCGTCGTCGACGCCGCTGTACTCCCACCACGAGGCGATACCCGAGCTAACTGCTGTGCTGACACTCTGCATCTGCTCGTGTCGTTCTTCAGTAGCTGACTACCGATCCTGCAGGACCTTCGTAACCCCAGTAACTTCGTAAGACGTTACACAAAGCGATATCACCGGTTTTCTTCAGAAAGAGGAAGCAGAGTGTCAGTGACAGTTCTATAAATTGTTCGTTTGCGGGTCTACGTTCGAAGGGACGGTCACAGAAACTGGACGACGACGACGACGACGGGAACACCCATTGTAGACAACATTATTGACGAGTTACGGTTAGTAATAATAGTTAGACCGGTGACACCGTGTAGTATTTAGTGTTTCAATCGTAATGCCTTGACGTCAAATCTTTCGTAATTCGCAGTACGGTTATGGTCAACTTTGCTTCGCATTTGTATTCGTTGTCAGTGCATACTCGTACGTGTATCGTTACTCTTTGGCATTCGAATTTCACTCTTGGCAATGCTCCTTCCTGTTCGTTCTGTCGACATGATCAATTCAGGATCGTCAGAATCCTGACGTTCACGCGTGAACAGCTTAAACGTTCTCTTACGTAGAGGACAAACGAAATGCCGGATTAACGTGGTTAAAATTAAATTAGTTTTAATCGTAAATTCGTCAGGCGGTTAATCATGCGTAAATCAGATAGGTAAATCAGATCCAACTTGGACGAACAAATAGTTTCCGTCGCGTTACAGTTGGTTTTTTCCAAAGTGGTACCACCGACCCATTCGATGACGTAAACGTGTATAAATCCGCCCGAGAGCAAACGTCCCGCTCATTAAAAATATTCCAATCTCTACGATCGTTCGGACGCGAGTACGACGTCGCGCGGATTCTCAGACCGGTCGTTTTATTTATTGATTTCTTAATGTCGCGCGTATATGCACAGTCTAGTTGGTGCGTACGCGGAACTTTATAAAGATCGCTGATTGTCCAGCCGCGGATCAATCGATCGTAGAGATTTCAGGTCATTGACAATGACGGATATACGCGAGCAGCGAAGTTTCCTGCGACGCTTTCTGTACCGGCGCGTAACAGCTGACCGTCATCGATGAAAAATAGTTGAATACGTGTATAGGTGTGTGTATCGCGCGACGCGACGCGACGCGACGCGACGAGATATCGCGTACACGCATGACGTCGGAATATTCCTGTAACCTTTACCTGTTCACCGGCGAAATGACGAACCGAGCGATTACGACTCGTGACGACGCATGCATGACTCGATCGGTTGCGGAAATTCGCTAAAATATCGATTACTCCTCGCCCGTTCTATATTTATACCCGGCGGAGTATTTCTCTCCGGCATTTTATTTAGAACCGGTTGACTTTCAATTAAGATCGCCGAGCGTTAAATACTGTTCTATAAATTGAACTTGACGGACGGAGAACAACGCTGAGAGGCCGTCCACTCGACCGCCGCGGTACACCTCCGTTCGAACTTTGACATTAAACAAAATTTATCGACGTTCGTTTTAAATCATCTGAAGTATTTCCTCCCGCGTACCCCCGACATCGGGAAACCTCCCGTCGACACGAAAACGAGAAGCTCGCGTTAAATTAATCGAGGAACGTCCGAGTCGTACAATCGTCCCCGAAGCGTGCGTCGATTTATCACGCACGAGGTACCTTATCACTGCTACTGCGTCAAGTACATGCGCCGATGTATGCAATACATATGTCCACGGTCGTGTCATTTACTAGAATACGCGATTGCATACCGTGACGCGATCGCGCTATCTTGCGCAATCCGCGTTCCTCACAGAGCGCAGCCAAACGGTTCTTCCGGGTGGTTGAAAGAAAGTGTTCGGTCTGTAGATACTTAGGTCCTAGCTATTAGAGCAGACGAATCAGTGTTACGACATGAGTCGCAACTAATCGCAACCGCTGGCCGGAAAGTTCGTGACATTGTTTCCGACGCGCGTAGCTTGTCTTTGATCGTGTGGTTCGAGGTCGTTCATTCTCTTTGAATTAAGCGGAGCCGGTCGTCTGGCCAACGCGAACGAAAGTAACACGCGAACACGTGCCCGCGGATAGACATCGCTCCGATCACGCACCCTTTCACCGTGTCCGATGAGAATTTTATTAGGAAACAGTACTAGTGTACTGCCCGGCACATCTTTATCTATCTTGTTATTTTAGTTAATCGCATTCGTTTACGTTTGAAGAGTCGTTAAAATACTTAAGCGTCTACGGATATCTGTTGCGACAACAATTTCAAATTGTTTTTGTGAAATTCGTTAAGAACTGCGAACGGAAATCTATAAAATTCTGTAGGAATTTTTAGAACAAGGGTTGGTCCCAGTTAATGGGTCAATAGGGTATCGAAGATTCGCATCGCGTGTCGCGTATAAGAGGATCTGCGACTGGCAACGACGACGCGGGTAGCGTCTCGAAATGCACGTAGAACGTGGCTCTCTGAGAACAGCCGGATAGTATTGATTTCTAAACGGAATATCTCCTTAGAAATGCTGTTCGTTTCAGAGGTTTATCGAACGCCGATATCTGTTTGTTTGTCGTCGAGAGGGTACGCAAGCGTGGCTCGTGTATTCCTCCCGTTCGGTCGGTCCGACTCGCTCGCCCGTGATCTTGGCGAGGTTCACCCGTGACCAGGAGAAGCGGCACGCTTTAGCTTTCACCCTGGAATCGAGCCAACTTCCTCTCGAGGGCAAGGACAGAGCCTCGCACAGTCAATTGATCACCCCGTAACTTGCGCCCGTGCGCGAAATTAGCATCGTCCAGTTTCTCGATCCGTCCAGTCCGAAAGTCGTACAGATCTTATGCACTTATATGAAAACGAGTTCCTATCTAGATTCTTCTACCTAGATAAGATCTGCGACCTGTTTACGTGGTCTCTGTTGCCACGCGTAAAGATAGGAATCTCTCGTCGTTCTAATTGCAAACACATCATTTTTGTCCTTTACTTACACCAAGGTGTATTCCATTATCCCTCCGCTGCAGGAATCGTTCGTCGGTGAAGAAATTTACAGTCACTCGACTCTTGGCGCGTCCTAATGCATTGATAAAGTCTGAATTGGAAATCTTTGCTGGTGACTCGAAGGCCTCCCGGAATAGACGCGGTAAATTCCGTTTTCGAATGATATGTTCGCATCGATCGTTCGGAAACCAAATTTCATTCACGAACGGTGGAACATCCAGCGAAAAAGGGCTGTATCGGCTCGCATGCATTTGCAGTTGCATCGACTTTCTACAGAAACTTCGGCACCGTTCGAAACTTCCATTCTATAGGTCGATGAAAGCCCTGTTTGCGACGACAGGAAAATTTTACGTTAGGCGATCGAAAGCGCACGACGAGAAAGAGCATCGATACCCGGGAGAATGGTACTGTATGAAAATGTATTACAGTAGAAACAGATGTGTGTATAGAGGGAAACCTTGTATTGGTTCTTTGTTAATTTGTTCCGTGTACGATGCGACAGATTCGTTTATTCGTTGAAAGGAGTCAGTATAAAAATAATTACGCCGACTAGATTTTTCGAAGTTACTTCCGGCCGTAACAAGAATCTAAGTACGTAAGTACTTGTTCTGGCTACTCGTAGTCGGAGAGTCTCAGCTGATCGGTTCCCGTGCTGCTGCGAAGGCTCGTGGAATCGGGTGAGCAGCTGTACGTTATACCCGTCGGAGCGTTAGAGGGTTGCCGAGGAAAGAGGGTAACAAGGAGGAAGAGAAGAACGTGGAGGAAAGGGTTGGAAAGGAGGCGCAGTCGCGTGCGTCTGCGCGCGTTTAGGTCGATGGGTCGGTGGGTCGTACGGTCGGTCGGTCGGTCGGTTGGTCGGCCGGTCGGTTGGTCGGTCGGTCGGTCGGTCGGTCGGTCGGTTGGGTATTGATTTTCATAGGAATACCGCCGCATACATGGTCGTCCACATGCATCGGTGACGACCGACTGGCCGGCTGCTCGAGCCAAATCTCTACGTAAAATTTCGTAATCACGAACCCACGACACTTTGAATCCACGCGTCCCACGGTGTACCACCTGCGGGAGGGCTGCCTTCCGCCCGGTCAGAGTTCTCCGTGCGACCCATTTTTACGAACCAAGTACGTGACTTTAGTTTAGTTTAACCTCGCCGATTTCTCTCCCCCGATGCGCGCGTACGACCTGCTGGGTATTTGCTCCTCTCAGTCCAGCATGTACGAGTACACGCGACGCGACCCCTTCTCCTTCGCGGATCTCGCCGTCGTTGATCCTTCCACGGGAACGACAAACAGTCGTTCAACGAACATTGACCAATACGATGTACGGTTGAAGAGCGTAACATAATCGAAACCATGAATCGTTCGATCGTTGCAGAACGAGTACGAGCCTCTGAGGAAGGAGCTGCACCAGATAGAGACGAGAAGCGGTCGACGAGGAAGAGCGGTCGTCGAATCGAAGTAATCGTCAGGCACCCGACAAGATGCCTGCCCCAACGTCAGCACCGGCTCCGGCCCCCGCCGAGGGTGGCCCACCTCGCACGGAGTTGCAGGAATTACAACTGAAGGCCGATCAAACTACAGATGAGGTACGCACCAACTCGCCGTTGTCCGTGCCGTTGCGATGAAATCGTTTTACAGGAGGAAGTTTTTTGTTCGTTATTTATTTTTTAATTTCCTGCGTGAACTTTCTCTTCCGAGTTTCTTCCAAAGTAGACTGATATTTTACGAGTTCTGCTCGTTAGACCGCTGACTTTTACGTCTATTTAAAATGGAAATTTAAACTGAAATTTCTTTTACTTTACTTGGGAGATAACGATCTGTACCCACGCGACTGCACATATTCCTGTACGTTGAATCTACCTGTTCTCTAAATTGTCATGAAATTCGCAGTGTATTTATCGGTGTTGTCGTTCGATGCGATCGATCGACTGATTTATTCGTACGATAGATTGATCGCATAACTCGTTCTGTTTTAGTCCCTGGAAAGTACGAGGCGTATGCTGGCCCTCTGCGAAGAGGTAAGTTCGTCTCGTCCCTATGAAAACTATACTCTCTTCTATTTATAATACGCATTAACCTTCATCCTCGGTCATCCTCGGTACTAATCCTCGATCCTCGATTACTATAATAGCGATTTCTTGTCCCCGGAGCTCTCGCTCCCAACGAGATTCTTTAGCCTCATGTAATATTAAAGACATTATGATCTCGATTGTCGGTGGTTTTTGTAAAAGTCGTTTGCGAAATGATTAAGAACGCGGCGAAAGCAAATGGGCTTCATGGTCTCTCTGTTCACGGATAAAACGGTGTGCAGTCGATGAAACGAAAGCCGCGAAAGAGTAAACGGACGAGAAAGTAATTTGGAAACGCGCGCTAGAGAGAGGTGGGCAAAATACTATTTCGGCCACGGTCCGTGGACGCGGACAAGAACGAGGTAGAATAAAAGACTGTCGGGACGGGAGCCTACCCGTTTCGTTCGAATCGCAACGACCCCGGAAAAGAGCAACGGAAGACGCGTTCCGATGTGCGGTGATTTACGCGTCGCTAAAGAATCTTGAAATAGTATTTGACCCAGCTCCGGCGCCAGAGCCGTTCTCCGTTTCTATATTCCTGTACACGATGTAACAGGTATATAATAGAATTTCGAACGGTGTGTATCGTTCGGCGGAAGTAAATAATGGCCGTGTCCGGGACGTTGTGGCTTTTACGACCGCGGATTTTCATCGACCAGAGCGAAAAGAGACGTTTTCTTCTCGAAGGAAAAAAGCAGAGGAGAAAAAAGAATCGTTGCACGGGTGCCAAAGTAATTTTATGTGTTCCCGAATGGGCGGTTCGCCGCCGCGGCACGAGTGTTTGATACTCGTAACGATTGTAAGACGACGCATCGACGCGGTCCGAGATGGTGATCCGCGGCGTGAACGCACGCGATTCTGGCAAACGTGATCGCGTCGTTCTTCGTTACGTTATTCGTTCTGCGACATGATTGCATGTTCGCTACGCGTAACGCTTCGTCGAGTGACTCTCGTGCGTTCGCGGCCGCGTTTTCGCGTGTTCTGTCTACGTTCTTCAGCTCCGCATTTCTTCTTCCCATGCATAATTTATTCGTTGTCTATGCTCATTATCTTCGATATCTATTCTCGATATATGTATGTACGTCTCTGTATAAGTGTCTGCGGAACTTTTACTGTGTACACCCGATGCCTTTACTCTTTTCCTGTTTACGAGCTACGAGTTAAAACTCGTCGTCGCTCGTCATCGTCGGAGCGAACGCAATGACGGCACCTGATGACTCCTGACAAGATCTTTCGTTCTGTTCGACGTTCCTGTTGACAAAATTATTTTTTAACGCGCCGCTCAGATCCAAATGAGTCGAATGGTGGTCGTTGCGTCGTTCCGTTCAAATTTCTTTTGCTATCCATCTGTGGCTGCACTAATTAGCACGTGTTTCGAGCACCGGAGACGTCAACGACTGTTTTTGCGTACGTACGTACGTACTTTGAAGACGCGGGAGTGACCGGACCAAGTTGCCCGTATAGGTATAGAGTACGGTAGCCGCGTACACGAAACCGTACGAGCTGCTCTCGCGTCGACCAGAGCCTTCGAGACGTACGAATATCCGGACGGGGCAGTCGTTGAACGAAGAGAGAAACGATAAAAAAAAAGAACTCGATCCTGCTGACCAGTGGTGGAGGATAATTTCGTTTCAGCGACGTCGTGAATCACGACAGAACGCGGTCTTTCGGAACGAGCCGAACGCTGCGGAGACCGACGCGATATTTAAACGGAACGAAGGAAGATCGGGTTCTTAAACGACAATCCCGTTGAAATGCGCGATCGTTACGATCAACACAGAGGGTAACACCGGTTTACTTTTTTCCGTGTCTTCTCCTCGTCTTTCCTCGACTCCTGTCTCTTCTGTTTTAAATGCTTCTCGATCTGTCCGTAATTCAAAGGACGTTCGAGAACACGTTCGTTCGACGTTGTACGGGAAGTTTTTAACGATTCCCATTGTGTGTGTACGTGCACCATCCTGTTTCAATCGCTTCCACTTCCACCTTTCGTTTCCATCTCTGTCTACATGCATACCTGGTTCCCCGGTAAACCGTGTGTGCAAAACGTGCAAACGTTCCTTCCGGAAGAGCTGTGAGTCGCGTTCAGGGGAACGTCGATTCGACGATCGGTGTCCGAGCAAACGAATTTACCCTCGCCAACGTGATTCTTTCTCGACTTCTGCGTAACGTCTTCTATCCGTTTCCACGCACGCCACTCCTAATAGTTTTACTGTGATCAGCGTCACAGAATTTTTTTAATATCTCTCTCTCGAGAGAAAGAACATTGGGGCAAATAGAATTAAGATTGCATCGATACGTGGACGAGGGTCGAGAAAACGATCCCACGGGGATCAGCGCGTCGACCGATCGTCGAACCGACGAAGAAAAGGGCTCGTCCAGAGTGGAGCGCGAAAGCCTCTCTAGGGGACGGTGTTATTATTCTCTCTGCCAGCACAGTTCGTCGAGCAATTGATCGTCACAGGCTGGCCGAGACAGGTAAACGACGATACTTGCATACATAGAAAATGAACCGTTCCGATTTCGACGATAGTAGAAGAGAATAGTTTCTCGATCGATGGGAGAGCACGAATCGAGGAAAGATCGCGCGTTAACCGGCAACTTCTGATACCGTCGGTCTGCTACCTGTGTAATTATCCGTGTCGCTGGCTGATAAATCGGGCATCTGTCGGTATTTGTCCGTGTTGCTGGCTGTGTATGTACGTGTTTCGTTATATTTTTTAATCACGTGTGCGGTGTGTCTTGTTTGCTTGCTTACACGAAAGATTCCAAGACACTCTGCTTGATCCGTGACGAGCTTCTTCCTCCACGAATAAGATCTACGTCGGCTGCCAAATATCTGCACGCTCGTATCCGTTTGATCGATCGTCTAGCAGTCTAGCCGCTAGACTCCAGCGAATCGAACGTTGACTCCTGCACTCGTACCGCGTCGATCGTAGCCGGCGTATTTTTTACTCTCCCGCGGAAAAGGCACGTTCACTCGCAAAGTTCCCGAAGCGAAGCTCGATGAAGGACTCGGTCAGTGATTTGGCGAGGAGATGACATGAAAATTATTGGCGAAGCATCGGCGCGGCTTCGCGAACTTGGCCGCTTATCTGCATTCGTTGCCTGGCTGCCTTTGTGTACGTTTGCCTGTCCTCCGCGAGAACACTCTTCATTCTTTCTGTACTCCTCCAGTGCATCGTGCTGTCATTTCTCTAGCTTGGTAATCATTCTGCTCGCACGACCACATTCGCTCACCACGCTCGGTCACAAAAACACGGGTCGCATGTATGCAAAAATTCAAACCCGTCCGTCGAACGTCCGATTCGTCGGCAGTTCCTTAAGGATGTATAGGCTATATACTTAAACAATGCTAACATGTTGAATTTGTTATTATAGAT